TGCCCGCAAAGAAGAATGTCCTGGTACTGGACAACTAAAAAAATGGCAAATGTCAACTAGACTCTTCAGACTCAAGAATAGTCACATGCCTTGGCCAGGTAGCTCTGTTGGTTAGAACATTGTCCCCATACGCCAAGGTTGTGGGTTTGATCACCGATAAAGGCACATACAAGAATCAACAAATGAATGCATAAATAAGTGGAACAACAAACTGATGTTTCTCTCTCTCTCCTCCTTCCTCTCTCTCTCCCTCTCTAAAATCAAAAAAGAACAGGTACATGCTATGCTCAAGAGCAAGGCTACACTTCTGAAGAATTTTAAATCACTAGGTAAAACTTGGAAGTTGCTCATTCCTGCAAATAAAGTTTTGTTACACTTTGACATCAGGCCCTCAACTCTGTATGATCCATGCCACTTAGGAAAATTTCCTGGGTGGCTATTGCTTTTTTACCTTTTCCTCTTCTTATTCTTTCTCTTTAACAATATGATTGCCATACCTATATTCCTTGCTTTCTTCTTCCTCTTTGTACCAAGTACATACAGTCTAGGAATATAAGCATAAAGATAATCCCTTGGATATGTCTAGGCATACCCTCCTATCCTTAATATTCAAGGATGACTCTATATCCCATGGAATGATTCATCGTTTGACTTGTTTTTCAAGGTGTGGTAATGAGTTTGTTCTGACAGATCCTTTTCTCTGCCCCAAGCATCTGGTACCTATTTGATATATCTGGCCATGGCCTTTTGCTTTGCCATTGACATGAACTGCAGTCAGATCTTTACCCTTGGCCCAATAATGTTGAATTCCAACCGTAGAGCAAAACTGGCCTGGGGAGAAAACACTTTGGTGCTATGAAACAGCGGAACTTGTTAGAAGAGGGAGTTTAGAAAGAAACCAAAAGGAGAAGTTTGTGCTTTAAGAAAAATAGGATTTAAAAAAACTAATACTTTGGAAATCATATCCTTTGTCTCTTGAATATCTAGAACCTCCTGAAAGAATGGTCCCTGTGTCAGCTCTGGTCAAAGCCTTTATGGCACAGACCTTGGTTAGTGTGTCTTTGACAGCAAGATTGGCAAGGGAAAAAGTTAATAAAGGAGACTTATAAACGTCCATATATTTTGGCCCAGTAATTCCACTTATAGAAATCGAGTCTTAGGAAATAAACAGATAAAAGAGATTTATGTACAATAATATTTATCCAAAGCTAGTACTAATAGTAAGAATTTGGAATACAATATAGAAGCCCAAAAATAGCAATAGCTAAAACTTACTAAGCATTTAATTTGCATAACACTTGGTACAAAGTGATTTATATGAACTATCTCAACAAACCTCATGAGTGAAGTGCTGTTATTATCCAATTTTACAAATGAAGAAACTGAGTCACAGAGAGGTTAAGCAATTTGCCCAGGGCCATGCAACTCAAAGTAGTGGAGCCAGTACTTAAACTGAGTTTTGTCTGAGTCTAAAGCTGGTGCCTGAAACCATCAAGCTGTACCAATTCTCAATAGGGCAATAACTAAACAAGTATAGAACAAACATGATGAAATATTAAATTGTCATTGGTATGATGGCTTTGAACAATTTTTAATAAAATGAGGAAATGTTCATGATATAATATTTAATGAATAAGAAAAATAAGGCAGTATTTAGCAAAGAGCATGAGCTCCACTAGGATACACAAATACACAAAAGATTGTTAACAAATATAAAAATAGTTTCCAGTTTGTGAATGAATATAAAACTGTATTTTCTTTTACACACTCTTATACTTTTCAAGCAGCCTACAAGTAGTATGTATTGCTTGTATAATCAAGGAAAATCACTGGTTTTCAGTAGAAAATAACTCTAGGCTGGAAGATTCTTATAATGAGCGCTAAATGGATTAGCCCAACCATAACCCAATGTGGTAGGGTTCAGAGCTCTGCAAGGACAGGCAGCTCTAACACACTGTGGCCAGTGCCCAGGGGAGCAATGGTTAAGTCTGAGTGTGGGAGAGGCTGCCTGCAGGGCTGACTGAGCTTTCCCATCCTGAGCCACCCTGCTGTTGAAGTGAGGTTATTAATTAATGGAGCCAGTGGCCAACAAAACTATGTGTCAGAACTGGATGGAAATTTTTACTTCGTGATTTCAACCTATGTGACTTTGGGCAAGTCATTTATCCTTTGTATACCTTTGTTTCCTCACCCATAAAATAGGGACAATAGAATTATTTCCCTGATTAAGTCATTGCGAGGATTAAATAAGAGGATGTATGTAAAATCTAGTAGATTACCTGCAACATAATTAGTATTCCATAAAAAATCACTTAAAAAGAAGATCAAAGCACACTTTGCCCCATGGTGGACACGAAGGGAAGGGCTGAGGAGACTGATTTGACATCATCCCTAAGAAACAGATGGAATACATTATTGCTAGAACCAAGTGCTTTTGAGCAGATTTGATTAATTATGCTGGTGTTTGGTGGGCCAAAGAAAATGTAGCTATGTTATGCTTCTAGTTTTGGCCAAGTATAAGATACTACATTTTTTGTTTCAAACCACTCTAAATTCCCTATGAACACATTGACTTCTCTAACTCTAATATACAATGTCAGTGTGCATAAGGTATGTAAAAATTTTTACCAAAATAGAGATGATTTGGATTTTCTGAGTATAGTCAAGTATGTATTGTAAGAATAACAGGCATAATTTAATATTCTGTTGCAGGGATAGAATTCTCATTATGAATGTAACATGACAAACATTAAATAAATAATAAATATACCATGAGATTTTTCTAGCACATTAGACAACACACTGATGATTACAGCTGTTATAGTTTTTCAGTCATAAAAGTTATGTGTATACATCATTCTGTGTTTGTGAATGTTCTTGCATGTTAAAATCCTTGAAAATACTATAAATTAGCCATAGCAGGTGGAGTAAGGGGATGGCATTAGAGATGCTTCTTTTTCTAGCCCCTTTATTTTTTCTGTTAAAATTCTTTTCTCTCATTATAGTTACTGCTTTTATAATGAACAATGTAAAGTATGATTTAAGAAGAAATGACCTAACCACTTGGTGGCGGTATTCCATGAAGAATATAGCCTCTATGGTTTCATTTCAGTTCTACACTTAGCAATTTTGCTACTGTCTTGATTTCATAACAATCTTGTTTATAAGCTGTTTTACTTCAGATACATAATTCTTTGTGAAGTCACTCTCTGACAATTAAGCCTCTCTTTTAAATGACTTTAATCTAATTTAAATTAACACACCTGGTTGATTTGAAACTATGATAACAGAAGAGCCTAAAGGAAGATTGTGCTTATTCCTATTAGGGCTAATAAAGCCGTAGTCAGATATTAAAATTATTTTTACATAATGCAAATTAATAACTAAAGCTTCATTGCTGAATAACCATCTGTACTTTATACAAAATAATTACATTAACCTGTATTAAAAGCCAACAGCAATATATATTCTTAAATAAAGACACTAATTTAAAATCATGAAAGTAAAAAAGAATAACCCAGCAACATATGCTATACACCTATGGTTTTGCCAAATTAAAAGTTGTGTCACATTTTAATGTTATATTTCCCTTAAAATGTCAAACTAATGTAGATGCAGACTCCTGTGTGGGCTCCCTGAGAATGAACATGAGCTTATAAAATACTAGTTTTGATGAATAAGCCTGGCTGTTGGCCATGGGGCATAACCTGGCTCCCTCAGAATAAGATGGAACCAGATACTTGAAACAAAAGACAGTGAGGCACTGAGAGGCCAAAAGGAATTTCTGATTTGTCTCAACTCACTGTGAAGCATTTCCCTCTTGCTGTGGAGAAGCCAGTATAAAAGCATAGCAAAGAAATTTTGACTTCTCTGATGTTCTCATCTTCTAAAATTCTCTACCCATTGTTCTTAGAAAACTACTCTTCGTTTGAGCTTGTGCTGGCACCCAGATCAGCCTTGTTCAAAAATTTCCAAAGACCCATAGGAACCTTTTTATTTGAACACTATATTTTTCTCAAAGAGAGTTGTCTGGGCCACAGAGCTTGTTATACAAGTATGTGATATCTCAATGGCAGCTAAGAACACTTCAAGTTGCAATTTCCCCTTGGCCCCCAAAGTAATTTTTTTTTTTAAAGAAGAATTTGAACACTGAAATCAGAATGACTGAATCATAGGGCTTGAAAAACTCTTGGGGATCCAGGGCTTAGAACCATTTTCAGGAATGTCTTTTATCAGCTGGGAGAATCGTGCCCTTGAAGTCACCCCTGGCAGCTTTTAATTATCAGGAGGAAAGAGATGGGTAAGGAAGCTCCAGGACTCTTTTGAGTTCAGATTGAAAGCAAATTGGCAGCCAACGCTGCTCACACCTTCCTGGTCAGAAGCTTTCATTAGCGTGTCCTGACAACTGTATGACTAGACCGGGCTAGCCAGCATCCTTGTCAGCAGGAAAGGAGCAGAGGGAAGTCATTACTGGCATTCTACCCCCGTGTTGCAACCTCAGTGTCTGCTAATCAAAATTGGGCTTCTTATATGGTGTCAAGATGTTGTTCACTAACATCATCTCAAAGACTGTGCAAAGGCAAAATGACAGATATTGGAGGCTCCTAAGGAAACCTAAATTTTATTGCATCATTTATTGGAAGGAATCAAGTAGAGACCAGTTATTGTGCATTTTGTTTGGCTCAGTGGATGAAATAAAGCTCCTCAGTACTTGTTGCCTAGAAGACTCATGAAATTAGTGGGCACACCTTGAAGTTTCATAAACCCTAAGTAGTTTTTATTGTTTTTTTCAGTGTGTTTTCCTTTGGGATTTACCCAATTAAATAAAAAGAAGAGAAGACACATAATCGAAGGCCCTTGCTTTTATTCCATCTTTCAAGCCTATTAAAGTTACTGGTTTACTTTAATCATCTCTAAATAAGTAAAGAAACTCTCTTAGGAAATTGGGTAACCTGAGTGCAAAATATAAGAAGCTGAAGCTATTTTCTTTTTTGTTTAAGTTTCCCCGGTCACACTGAAATCATTCCAACATGATACTCGGAATTCTGGGCTTCTAATTGCTTCCATCTTTAAAGGACAACTTACTTCTGGTAAGAAAACACAACTTTTTCTAGTAGTTTTTCTAGTAATCTTTACTAATCATTTATTTGAATTCTCGATACTGGGAAAAATCATGTGTCAAGTATAAATTTCTTGATCAGAAGATTTGTCATATGCTTTCTATAGGAAAATAATCGACAAAGATCTGCTTAAAATTGAATTTAAGGAGTGGTGTAGGTGGATTTTTACCAGCTTTTGCTCTGGGTTGGGTACATTTTCATTTCAGTTAATGCTGGGATTCAAGACTCCAAACCTCCTTTCTAAAATATTCTATTATTTGTGTCTACATTATACTAGGGGATTTGTACACATCATCTTTGCTTCTTTAAAAAATTGTTTATTGATTTAGAGGGAGAGAGAGATTACTTTGTTGTTCCACTTGTTTATGTATTTATTAGTTGATTTTTGTATGTGCTCTGACCGGAGATCAAACTCTCAACCTTGGTGTATCAGGACAATGCTCCAACCAACAAAGCTACTGGCCAGGGCAAAAAAAAATCAACTTTTTTCTATCTTCCAAACAACCTGGTGAGAAAAGTCCTGTGTGTATATTTTACAGATGGGAAACCTAAAACTCAGGGAGACTGAGGAACCTGTCCAAATTCACACTAAGTGACAGACTAAAATTCAAATCCTGTTTTTCAAATTCTGAAGTTTCTGCACATTCTCTTGTACAATAAAGATCCTATTTTATTTGTTAGTATGACTCAAAATCTTCCATTGATGAGTATACCTAAATATTTTAGGCATAAAAAGATGCTAGATTAGGTTGTATAATGGCAAATACAACTCTAAGTAGAAATTTCAAATTGAAAAACTTTGGGCATGACTATTTCACTACTGACTACTGTAGACCACTTACTTCCTTGCATAGAAATCTGACAGGAATAATATAAGAATTTTTGCAGATTATCTTGACATTCTTTGGACTTCTGCTTATTTATTTGACAAATACTCATTAAGCAACTATTATGTGCTAGGTACTGTTCTGGATGCCAGGGAATCAGCAGTGAGAAAAATGAACAAAGCCCCTGTCTTCATGGGGCTAATAGATAGGGGGAGGTGAGAAAACAAGTAACAAAACAAGAAGAATAAAGTCAAGTGGTGGTAAATGTCATAAAGAGAGGTATGAGCACGCTCAATTTGTACATGTGAATCAATTATAAGCCAAGTGGTTAGGTTTAGTACAGATCCCTAATTACAGATGCCTACACAGGCCTGCACCTTGATATTTCTGTGGGAACTGTGGAGGCTAGGAACTCCAGGCAGCTCTATTAGATAGGTATTATTATCTCTATTTTACAGAAGAGGAAACTTGAGCTTCAGCAAGGTTATAATTACACCCTGAGGTTACACAGCTGATAGGTGGCAGAGTCACTTCTGCCAGCTTTCATCAGCTTTCAAACCCAGGTATGTCAGTTCACTCTGCTCTATCCCTGGTCCCCTCTGCCCGATCCTATGTTAACATGGGGATTTTCTGTCCTCCTCCATGCACTAGTGCCCACGTGTATGTGGCAGTCAGTACCTTCCGTAAGTTGCATGAAATCTTCAGTAATTTCCTTTTAGTCCTAGGAAAACACTAATTTCATATCCCACTGGAACTTTGGAGTGATCTAAGGCCCTGGCCACCAATTGGCTTTTGGAGAGGGGCTGGACAACCTGGAGACCCCCCAAATGTATTGTAGGCACAGCTTGGAAATAGCTAGGGAAGGGCCAATGCAGTGTCTACCACATGACAAGTATCTGATAAGCATTTGCCAAAGGGAGGAAGGAAGGGAGATGGAATGAAGGTTAATATCCAGCATGGCTCAGAACAAACTCCAGTGTGATAAGTCATTCCTCAATTACAATCTATATTTGAAAATAAAAAATAGTGTCTTACATATATATTAGGGAGAAAATGTGATGATCCTGGAGGTAACACATGTTGAATATATTATATTCATTATTTAATGATTTCAGGGGATTAATTCAACTTCAAAATATAAACAAAGATTGTTAGCATTGTTTTTTAAACAGTATTCTATTTATTTTTTAACATTATTTTTACTGTATTTTTTCCATTACCATTTACCTGCCCTATACCCTATTCCACCTACCCCCACCCCCTTCCCCCAGTAATGCATTGTTTTTTCAAATAAAATGCGAGTGCAAGATATATAACAAAAAAAGTCTTTTACAACATATATTGTTTTAAGTAGAGTGAATGTCCTTCTTCAGCGGAAAAAATTAATAAGTTTTGAAGAATGGTGACAAGTTGTATATAACTTCTGTCTCACACCAAAGATTTTAAAAAAAACAACTAGAAACTAAAAACCCTCAGTCATGATTATGGCCAGCTCTGTTACAAGCAATTAGAATTCCGCACTTGTGTCAGAAAAACCAAATGAGTTTCATCACTAAACCTTTTTATATAAAATATGCATGCACAAGCTCAAAAAATGTCCAATACTAACCACATTTGCTATAGATGCACTTCTAGAAACCCACTGACATCAGATACATGCAACCTGATTTTCTCAAACAAAAAGTATTGTTCTGCAGTTTGGAAAGGCAGTCACTTCACAGCTCGTTAATTATGTTTCCCTCTTTCTCTTTTCCTTTAAGATCAGTCATCTTTGCTTTGAACAGAATAGGGAGAACAATGATTCTGACATCACATGGACACTAAAGTTTAGCTAAAATTATTTTTCTTTCCTCTCAGACAACAGGCAACAGGACACTGGACTTTTGTCGGGAATGGTCTCCTTTGCTGTTGTGTTGTCAATTCTTTCTTTGATTGTGATATTTAACAAATCTCTCCGAAGTAGGTAGGTTTTTGCAGAATTTCTGTTTTCTTATTTTTACCATATATTTGTAGCACCAAAATGTAGTCAATTAAGTTATTTATGAGAAAAACCCATCAACATTTTTATTCAGAGAAAGGAAAAATACCTACCTATGCCAAACTGTTTACAAATGTCTTTTATTTAATCATCACAATGACCCTACCGGAAAAGCTCTATGGTCTAATTTATACAAGGCTTGCAGAGGTTAAGTGATCAGCCAAAGGCCACTAGGCACTAACCAGGAGTCCAGACCGGGCTGAACTCACAGCCCATGTATTCTCTTCCATTACACAACTTTCTCACTGTGCCCTCAAGTTTATCTTCAGTGTCAGGATTCTTGGGAGTGGTTATGTCTTAATCTGCCTCAAATTCTACCCAAACAAATCCCAGTATGAAAAGAAGGGGGGCACCATCTGAATTAATCACTTTGATATCCATTGTACCAGTGTTTTACATGCAGCCCCAAGGCCCATTCTCCTTGGCCTTCTTCAATCATTTTCCCCAATATGATAATAATAAAGATCTATGCCTAGTTATTTAGGAAATGAGACTGAGAAAGATAAGGCCTTCGATTTCCTAAATTTTACTAGATGCACTGAAGACATATTTCTTTTTTAAAATATATTTTATTGATTATGGTATTACAGTTGTCCCATATTTTTTTCTCCTGTTTATCCCCCTCAGCCCTGCAACTCCCCTGCCTCCAGCATTGACCTCCCTCCCTTAGTTCATGTCCATGGGTCGTACATATAAGTTCTTTGGCTTCTCCATTTCCTATTCTATTCTTAACCTCCCCCTGTCTATTTTGTGCCTACCAACTATGCTTCTTATTCCCAGGACCTTTTCCCCCCATTCTTCTCCGTCCCTCTCCCCACCTATAACACTCCATGTGATCTCCATTTCTGTGATTGTGTTCTTGTTCTAGTCGTTTGCTTAGGGTTTTTTTTTTTTTAAGTTCAGTGATAGTTGTGAGTTTGTTATTATTTTACTGTTCATAGTTTTGATCTTCTTTTCCTCAGATACGTCCCTGTAACATTTCATATAATAAGGGCATGGTGATGATGAACTCCTTTAACTTTACCTTATCTGGGAAGCACTTTATCTCCCCTCCCATTCTAAATGATAGTTTTGTTGTATAGAGTAATCTAGGTTGTAGGTCCTTGCTTTTTATGACTTTGAATACTTCTTTCCAGCCCCTTCTTGCTTGCAAGGTTTCTTTTAAGAAATCAGTTTATAGTCTTATAGAAATTCCTTTGTAGGCAACTCTCTCCTTTTCTCTTGCTGCTTTTAAGATTCTCTCCTTATCTCTAATCTTGGGTAATGTAATTATGATGTGCCTTGGTGCATTTCTCCTTGGATCTAACTTCTTTGGGATTCTCTGAGCGTCTTGGACTTGCATGTCTATTTCCTTTGCCAGATTGAAGAAGTTCTCTTTCACTACTTTTTCCAGTAAGTTTTCAATTTCTTGCTCTTCCTCTTCTCCCTCTGGCACCCCTAGGATTCGGATGTTGGAACATTTAAAGTTGTTCCAGAGGTTCCTAAGATTCTCCTCATTTCTTCAAATTTTTGTTTCTTCATTCTGTTCCAGTTGAATGTTTATTTCTTCCTTCTGTTCCAAATCATTGATTTGAGTCCTGGTTTTCTTCCCTTCGTTGTTGGTTCCCTGTATATTTTCCTTTATTTCACTTTGTATAACCTTCACTTCTTCCTTTATTTTGTGACGGTACTCATTCATTTCTGTGAGTATCCTGATTACCAGTGTTTTGAATTCTGCTTCTGATAGGTTGGCTATCTCTCTGTCACTTAGTTCTTCTGGAGTTTTTATCTGTTCTTTCATTTGGACCATATTTCTTTGTCTTGGTGCACCTGTTATGTTGTAAGGAGTGGCACTTTGGGTATTCTCCAGGGTGGGGAAACCCACTTCACTGTCCTGTGGTGCTATAAGTGGGGGAGGCATCAGAGAGGGAACAATGCCACTTGCTTGGCCTTTGCCCTGCTTTCAGTCACTTCCTGCAGTTCCCAGAAGTGACTTGTGCCCTTCCAGGTACTGATTCCCAGGTGGGTGAGCTTGTATACATTCTAGGATCCCCTCCAACAGACTCTCCTGTGAGACTGAGTATTTCTCCCACTGCCACAGCCTCCACAGATTTTTACAGCCAGAGGTTTTGAGGCTTTAGTTTCCTGCACTTGAATGCTGGGTTGCACTGTCTCTCTCACTCCCCAGTTGTTCCTTTCAGCTTATCTGCTGGAAATGTGGGACCTCCTGGTCCACCAGCTGCTGCTTTGCCTGCCTGGTCTGCTGCCTTGCTGAGCATCCTCTCCACCCGGCTGCCTGTCTCTGCAGCTCTTACCTGTCTGGATGAATGTTTCTTCTTTAACTCCTTGGTTGTTGGACTTCTATACAGTTCAATTATCTGGCAATTATGGTTGCTTTTTGTTTTGAAATTGGTTGTTATCCTTCTTTTTGTTGTGTGAGGAAGCAAAGCATATATATCTACTCCTCCATCTTAGCTGAAAGTGCTGAATATATGTTACTAATGTACTGTTTCATGTGGCAATCTCCTGTTTCATCCATTGACTTACTCATGTGATAATAATCTTTGTTTCTTTTAAATTTATAATCACAATGCAGTAGAAAGATTTAGAATGAGCTGTTCTAAATGAAGTATACTAGTGATTTTAAAAATTTATGTAGGCTTTTTCCTCAGAACTTAAGTATATAAATTACACATTAATAAATATATCCCTGGAGCCCTTGAGAGGAAGGCAAGTGAATATGGAAATTTATTTTAGGCCATTTTAAAATGTATTTGATTATAAAGCCCTTTGAAATATTTTAATGTTCAAACTTACACCACATAAAAATATTAATATTTATGTTTTTATCCAAAGAAGTCTAAGTTAGTGTGAAGTTCTAAGTAACATTAAATTTGTTACTAAGAATAATCTAAGATTAACTTCCTGTTGTTAATGAAAAATTCTTCGCTAATTTAATTATTTAAATAAATATTCTTGTTTAAAAAGTAAAAGAACAAGAGATAATTCCAATATAATGATTATACATTTGAGCAGATACTATTATTTACTACAACTATACATTATTTAATAAGCCTTGTTTTGGATATAGATCTGGAAAACAGAGGGTAAAACATTTTAAATAATGAAACCAAAAGTAAAATATGTATATTTTATATATTTATATACATATAAAGTAAATGCATATATATTCTCACTCTTTCAGCAGCTGTATAAAAACTTTCCTACAATAGCATGAACTTACTAATTTGGTCTAATTTTGGGGATAGAAAGAGAGTGTAAATTAGTACCAAAAAAGCTGAATCATTAAACATTGCATAAATATATGTAAGGGAATTATATTTACCCTACAATTCAAGGTAAAATTGGACTAGCAAAGTGCATTCAGCCATTTTGGTTGTTACTTAGGCAAAGTCCATAGAGAAGCTGCTTAAACGGGTAACAAAGTCTGACCTGCTGTTAATAGATGCAACATTAAATTGGAAAAATGTGCCTGAGATCAGTTTAGTCTCTTCTAAACTGGTTCCTGGTACAACCTCTTTGTTTAAATCAATTTTACTGTAAATGCAGAAAGTGCTTTCAATGCAGTGGCAGTGTCAAAGGGTAGCTTTGGGGAAGAAGTGGGTCATACACAGCTTCTCCATCTTCTTTCCATCACCCCACCTCCATGACCCTGAATACGTACACAGCCTGAATTAAACATGGTGTCCTCACTGTGCCACAATGGTGGCAGACAACTTGCCCTGTCCCACATTCCTTCCACATAAAAAAAGTCTGGAGTCACCACTATCATCTTACTCTATTCGGAATCATAACAAATTCAGAATTAGAGAAGCTTGAGTTACACAATTTTATTATATAACATTCTCTCTTTTAGTATTTTTCTGTGGTATGGTCGCCTTGGAAAATTCTACAAAATGTACCTTAAGTTTTCTAAACTTTCCCATGCTGAGGTCTCCTGCTCATCATGCTTTGCCATATCTAAAGTATATGTGGTTTTCACTTCCAGAGTAGTTCTCCCACTTACATTGAATCTAGAGTGAGTGTTTTTGAAATGTTCCAGCTCATTAGGCAGAGGAATAGAGAGAAGAAAAAAATCTGGCAGGTACTGAATCAACTTCCCACTTAATTATTTGAAGTAGAAGATGGAAATCTTAGCTCCTCCTTTAGAAAGTTTCATTTTTATTATGCTTTCCATTCTATATAGTTGATTTGCTAATTACCCATGTGATTGCCTGCACTAATCTTAAAGTAAAATGCTTCTTTGAATGTGCTATTTTTGTGTTTCAGAATTAAAAGAAGATTCTTATTGCTAATACCAAAATGGCTTCATGAAGACATTCCTAATATGGAAAAGAGTAATGTTGTGAAAATGCTTCAGGTAATCAAACACCATCAAATAAAAGATAAGTGGTGGCTGTGACCAAGAGTACAGTTCAGTAGTGGAGGATTTCCATTTCAATAAATAAATGTGTGTGCATATTAGCTTAACTGTATAATCATATGTAGAATCAAAATTATACATATTTCAAATTGTCCTTATGAGATGAGAGAAAGAAGATAGGGAAATATGAGATATAAGAAAGAAACAATGCTATTCATAAAAGAAAAGTGAAGATTGCAGGCTAGCTGTCAGAGTCACCTGGTGGCCGCAACTGGTAGGTATCTTCAGGGACTGTAGAAAGCGAGCAGAAAAGCTCAGTTGAATAAGCCTCGAAGACACAAAGGGACTCCTGTTTTACATTAGATTCAAGAAGCAGGTGGAGCCCAAGGAGGACACGACTTCACTCCTGAGACCCTATGGAATTCGAGAAAATAAATGTGTGAGGACTGTGGAGATGATGTCACCAAGGGTGGGTCAGGTTTCCACTTCAGCAGAGAAGGGTGAGCCAGGAAGATCATGAGAATATATGGAACTTTGCTGGTTGTGGAGGAACTGCTGATGATTATGAATGAGGGGAAGGAATCTGCCATGTGTGCTGCTCCTACTTTCCAGCGCTCTGGCCTGGTTGTCAAGCAGCCCAAAACCCAGTTGACAGGACAGTCTCATTATCCAAGCATTGTGATGCAGTGATGTAAGTGCAGAGACAGAAATGAAACCAAACATGACAGGAATGTAGAGGAAACATTGAAAGATGAATAGGAGTTGCTCAAAAGAAACAGAGGACATTCAAAATAGAGAGGACAGCATGAGCAAAAGCACAGAGGTGAGAAGATCATGTTGGGTATTGCTTTATTGAAAAACATTACATGAAGAGTGGCTGGAAAGATGCTGGAATGGTGAGTGGGATGAGATCACAAAAGGTCTTGTTGCTATGGAACTTCATTCTGTTAACTGATACTTTTCAAACTTTAAAAAAAAATCTGTATTTTTAGTCTAGGATCCCTATTTGGAGCTTTGGAAAGCCCTTTAATCAACTCCTTCCCCATCTCCAAAGAAGTCCTTAAGGCATAATGTTGTTGCATACTAGAATCCTGATGCCAAAGCCCATTCCAGGATCCCTGTGGGGAGACCCAGGCATCAGCACTTTCCAAAGCTTCCCAAGTGATTCCACATGCAGACAATGTTGAGAACACTGTTAAGGGATTGAAGACTACTGTTAAAGACAATGAGAAGCCAGTGAGAGGTTTTTGGTTGAAATAGATATGGTCCTAGGAAAGAAGCAGATTTAGGAGGGTCAGAGAAATGAGCATGATGAGGTGTGATCAAAGTGTCAAGAAACAAGGATTCACAGTGCTGAATAATTTGTAGAGGGTCTATAACATAAGGAGTGAATGAGTCCATGGAATGTGACAAGGAGCAAGTCATTGGTGGTCCTCGTCCAGAGGCTCAGCTGTGAAGTGAATGGAGGGGGAGGAAGCAGGGAGAAAGAGTGGAGACATCTTTTGATGAGTGTGGACTAGAAGGGAAGTGAAGGAGGGGCTAGGCTGACTGTGGTGAGCTCTCAAATGCTTGTGGAATGAACGAGTAACAGTAGCTCCAGAGGGGTATGGAGGCAGGAACATGTTTGCACTAAACTGGACAGGCATGAGAAGGATTATTACAGAGGGGGGATGTGAACTTGACTGAACAAGACTGTGAAGAAGAGGGAGGGGATGGTCTAAATGAAAGAGGTGGAAAGTTCATCCTGAGCAGGAGGAGGGATCTTTGTCTCTGGATACATAAAGGAGAGAAGGGGTGTGGATATGGCTGATTTTGAAGGAGATAATGTTGATTAACAATCGAGGGATGATCTAGAACAACTGACACATGTATGTAATGAAATATGTAATTAATTAACAGAAGGACAAGCATACATTCACCAAACTACAGATAACAAATACTTTAGTCTTGATATTCACTCCACTTAGTAGTTTTATTTTGCTTCCCCATTAATTATACGAGGGAACTGGGGACTCTTTATGGTTCAAAGAATTGTCTCTGATCTCATTGTGATCAGACTCTCTTCTTCCTTTATGGTCCTCACACTGGATTAGTTCCTGTTGGTCTTCTGCATCCTTCATTGTGGTTCGAAACCCACTCACTTCTCCACTCAATTGCCAGCCTGGGGGGGAAAACACCTCCTCCCTCAGAACATAGCCATCTTACATTCTTAGTTTCCTATTGTAAGTACAGTTCCTTTGCCTTCCTCTGACCTTTAACTACAGTGGTTCCCCCTTTGTCACGGTTTTACTTTTCCCACTGTCAGGTATCTGCCATCCAAAAATATGAAATGGAAAATTTCAGAAATAAACAATTCATACATTTTAAATTGCACTCATTCTGAGTATTTGTCCAGTGTACCCAACCTATGTACGATACCTGCCCATTAGTCACATAGTAGCCATCTCAGTTATCGGATTGACATTGTACTCAATAATGGCCCCAAAACACAAGAGCAGTGAAGTTGTAAATGTGAATATCCAAAGAGAAGTCATAAAGTGTATATATATACAGGAAAAAGCATAGTATATACAGTCACGTGCTGCTTAAAAACGGGATATGTTGTGAGAAATGTATCAGGCAATTTTGTCCTTATGCAAACATCAGAGTATATTTCCACAAACCTAGACGGTATAGCCTACTACACACATAGGCTCCATGGTATAGCCTATTGGTCCTAGGCTACAAGCCTATACAGCATGTTACTGTACAAAGCAACACAAGACTAAATCAAGTATGAGAAAAAATGATGCAATCGTGAGACATGATAAACAAAACATGTATGAGGGTGCTGCCAGAGTAACATGGCATACTGTTTTACAGAACACTGTTTTCTTATAAGTAGAAAGAGAACTCTTTAAAATAATGATAAAAAGTAAATACATAAACCAGTTTATAAGGAGGGACCCAAAAAACACTGGAATTTATTTATAAAAAAACTGTTTATTCTTACATGTTGAAACTTCAGGCACCTTCAAAGCATTCTCCATCTGATGCAATACACCTAAAGAGTCATTATTCCCTCTGCTCTAAACAGGATTTGAACTCATCAGTTTTGATGCCTTTTAGTGCTTCTGCCATTTTTTGTTTCACCCCTTTCACATCGGCAAAATGTTTCCTTTTGAGGACTTCCCTTATCCAGGAAAGCAGACAAACAGAAAAAAGTCACTGAGGGTGAGAGATCGGGTGAATAAAGAGGATGGGGCACAGGAGCCAAGCTGTTTTTGGTCAAAAACTGAACACTCAGCACAGTGTGGGCAGGTGTGCTCGTAAATCACCCATCATGAAATGGGCAAATGTGTTGAAAGAGCCTTCAAAAAAATTCACTGAAGCTGAACGCAGCCTCTCACACCAACACCAGCTGGTACACTGATAGAATTGGGTTCCTAGAACACTCATCTAGCAGGAGAAGCCTGTACTACAAGGGGCCCAATCTTCAGAAGATAATTCCATTTTTGGAGTCCCCCCTCATATTATGCACATAATTGTATGTGCTATACTTTTATATGGTTGGCGGTGCAGTAGGTTTGTTTATACCAGCATCACAATAAACAGTAATGCATTGAACTATGGCGTTATGATAGCTATTCTGTCACTAGATGATCAGAGCTTTTCAGTTTCATTGTAATCTTATGGGTCTACTACCATAAATGTGTTCCTTCATTGACTGAAATGTTACATGGCGCATGGCTATATAGGGTTAGGTAATATCTTGGTTTCAGGCGTCCACTGGGGGAGAAGGTTGGAACATATTCCCTGTGGAGAAGAGGGGGCTACTATACACACAGCTGTCCATCCCAATCCAAACCTTCTAAGTTTCATGGGGAGGCTGAGCCTGAAGAAAATCTGCGCAACAGTTGTGCTGCTTTATTCAACATATTCCTTTTTGCCAAACTTCCTTCCCATTCTGGGGTCTTGAAATTAGAAGTGAACCTTAGAGTTTCCTTTAGATGAGGTTTTGTTCTAGTTAGCTCAGGCTGCTATAATAGAATACCATGGACTAAGTGGTTTAAACAGCAAACATTTATATATCACATTCCTGGAGGCTGGGAAGTCCCAGATCAAGATGCTGGAAGATTTGATTCCTAGTGAGAGCTCTCTTGCAGACAGCTTCCTTCCTGCTGTGTCCTCACATGGCAGAGGGAGGAATCATTTTCTGCCTGTCCAGGATTTAACCTCATTCTTGAGGGCTCCATTCAAAGACTACTTACTCTCCAAACACCCTACCTCCTGATACCATTATATCGGGGGTTAGGGCTCGACATATGAATTTTGAAGGGACACAAACATTCAGTCCATAGCAGGAAGCTATAATGTTATAATTGTGTTGGGTGGGAGCCAGCCGTCACCTGGAAAGCCTTGAGATCTCATCCTACCCAGAAGAATCATCAGGCCATTATACAAATAAAAATCTTGTTCATCCAACCTCCTGACCATCACAGACATGTCTAAATTGTGAGCAGCTGCACACCTTTAGACCCTCAGCTCAAAGCACTTCTTACCTTAGTCTCAAATGAAAGCAACAGGATTCTCCCCCTACCCTTTTCTTTCATTTAAGCAACCAAATATTTTCTTGCAGTAAGTATCCATAATATTAACAAGTACTTCAACATTTTTCAAAATCCAAATTTTAAAAGGCCCTGAAATAATATGCAAATTAATATGTAAAATGCTTCTTTGTCTTTAAAATTTTTAAACCAAGTATGTGCTTAAAACATGCATTATTTTTATTATTTCTTTCCTTCTGTGCCCTCATGAGAGAATTTAATAAGGATTTAGACTTGAGCGGGAAAACAAAGGAAGAAATCACATGAGAAAGTAAACAATATGAGGAAAAGAAGAAAGGAAAGTAGAGGGAAATTAGAATTCCAGACCTTTTTCAGTGTTCCAGCTGACACCTTTAATGTTTTGTGTTTGTTTTTTTTGTTTTTGTTTTTTTTGTAAAATAAAACAATGTCTTTTCTTTCTAGGAAAAGAGTGAATTTATGAATGATAATTCCAGTGAACAGGTCCTACATGTTGATCCAGTGATCACAGAGATAGAGATCCTTCTCCCAGAAGAACACAAGGCCACGGACTACAAGAAGGAAAAGAATACAGGATTCCTGGAGACAAGAGACTGCCTGCAAAAGTCACTACTCACCAATACTACAGTTGTGTATATTCCTGATCTCAACACTGGGTATAAACCCCAGATTTCAAATTGTCTCACTGAGGAAAACTATCCCAGCAATAATGATGAGACGGCTTCCTCAACTCTCAAACCAACAACAGTTGATTCCTTAGACCTGGGGAAAAATGCCCGGTTAAAAAAATATCCTGATTTTGCTCTTTCTGTCTCTAGTATGAATTCGCTAAGCAATACACTATTTCTTGAAAAATTAAGCCTCATTTTAAATCAAGGAGAATGCAGTGCTTCTGACATGCAAAACTTGACAGAGCGGGAAAGCACAATGCTTTTGGAAAATGCTTCATCCAATGAAACAATTCCAGAACAGACCCTGCTGCCTGATGAGTTTGTCTCCTGTTTGGGGATCATGAATGAGGAGTTGCCATCTATTAATTCTTATTTTCCACAAAATATTTTGGAAAGCCACTTCAATAGAATTTAATTTTGGGGAAAGTGTAGTCAAAATTAATGTGAGAAAGCTGCCTTGTAATCTGAAGCTGAATTTCCCCCTCTACATAAATTTAATTCTGCCTTATTTTTTAAAATTAGAGAATTAAGGTCCAAAGATGGAACATACTTCATGGTCACAAAAGCAGCAGCAATATTACGGATACCTCCTGCATTTAAAAAAATAACTATATTCTTTTTAATTTCCTTCATTGAAAGACACAGAACAGATCTTTCTGTTGTGTGAAGGATAAATAATACAAAATACATGGTAATGAAATAAATGCTGAAAACAGTTATTTAAAATCAAGACATTAATATTAGCTTGCAAGGGGAGAATTAAGTTTAATTTTCCTTATATTGCTTAAAATTATCTTGAGTAGATAAAAACATAGCCCCCAACAACAAAATAAGGGAAGAAACAGAGGAGGAATTAATTAGCATGTTTGTTGTATTTTTTTTTTTTACTACTTTGTATTCAGTTGTTAGGGATTTGATCTTTCCTTATTTTGATTATGGACTAAGAAAGTTACAAAACAATGATATGTGGAAATCATGAGATTGCTATCTTCATTCAATGGTGTTCTCCTGTGGCATAGTTGGTGTATTAATTACACTATAGTAGAATTAATGAGGTAGCAGATGCAGGATCAGCAAGGCGTAATTTTTTTTATAATCAACTATGTACTAGATATATGTCAAAAAATTACTGTTAAAACAGATATATGTCCAAATTTGGGATAGTAATACTTGCCACCCCTTCTATTGCTCCATAGCCCATATCTTCCACAGACATCGCTAAGTGATCACCGCATCTTTCTGTTGAGCCCTAAGGTGGTCTCAGAATCAATCATCTTGACACAGCATTTGTGATAGCCACAATTAATAATGGCTGAGACTAGAGAGGAATTCTACCTGCCAACCAGGTCAATACTGAAAGGTGGGTGATCTTAAAAATATGAAATTCATATTTTAAGCTGAGAAATTCCGATTAAGTTTTCTGATTAATTTTTTAATCAAGGATAACAATGTTTTAATGATCAGAACAATTTGAAATAGGGTAGCTTACCCACTAAATTTCTCTTTCTCTTTTAACAGTTGTCAACAATAACTTATATTCAGATTAAATAGTTTAATTTTATTATAACAGATCAAGCAGTTAATAAAAAAAAGGGCCAGTTGCCTACCATGTGCTTAGCACATGAGCAAGCCATTTTATTTTGGTTTTGGCTTTTTTTTAATAAAAAGGGAGATGTTTAATTTTTTAAAAAAGCTAAAGGCAGTTTTGTTGTCATTAAGTGTCCCCATAAGGAGGATGACTATACATCTTGGTTTTCCCATATTTTGTCCAAGTATTAAGTATCATGAGTGCACCCTTTCACTCTCAAGCATCTCATTTGAATGATAAATCATGTGGTCACTCTATCTGCGAAGACTGTTCAATGTCCAGCATGTAAGTAGTTTATCACAAGTCATCTCTTTTTTTTTCTTTGCATTGACAATCCTCTTTATTTTACTTTATATTATTTACTAAAGACATTCTGTTTCAAAAATGGAAAGTTACTATTCAAAGTACAATAAACATATCCCCTGCTGTGAAATTCTATTTTATTTTTCCTAAATTATGTATATATTAGTTGTACTTTACATATTTTGAAAGTATATTTTAATCCCTAATGAAATGCCAATATTAAATATCTTGATTTCTAAGTGATCATATGCCTTTGCTTTATTCTTCTCCAAAGGGAAAATATGTATAATGAAGCAAAAACACAGGTAGTATTTGAGACAGAAATAAAAAAGACTGAGATGAATCTTTGATGTTTACCAACATGGTGACCTCTGTTAACATGTGAAGCATATATTCTTAGTGTATTTCAATATAATTGTAATCTGCTGCACATCATAAAAGCTTTTGTCAAGCTTAAAAGATTGCAGCATTAGGTCTGGCTGAGTGGCTCAGCCGATCGGAGTATCAAGGTTGGAGGTTTGATTCCCAGTCAGGGTGCATACCTAGGTTGCAGTTCGATCCCTGGTTGGAGTGCAATTCGATCTCTAGGTCCATCCATACTGTCACAAAGGGTAAAATTTTCTCTTTTTATGGTGAAGTAGCATTCCACTGTGTAAATGTCCCATAGTTGTTTTGTCCACTCATGTACTGATGTGTGAGTGGGCTGCTTCCCTATCTTGGTGATTGTAAATAATGCTGCCATGAACATAGGGGTACTTACGTTCTTTTAAATTGGTGTTTTGGGTTCCTTCGGATATATTCCCAACAGTGGGGTTGCTGGGTCAAAAGGCATATCCAATTTTAATTTTCTGGGGTATCTTCATACTGCTTTCTACAGTGGTTGCACCAATCTGCATTCCCACCAGCAGTGCAAAAATGTTCACCTTTCTCCACATCCTAACCAGCACTCGTTGTTTGTTGATTTATTGATGATAGTCATTCTGACAGGTGTGAGATGGCATATCATTGTGGTTTTAAGTTGCATCTCTCTGATAATTAGTGATGTTGAGCATCTTTTCATATATCTTTTGGCCATCTGTGTCCCCTCCTTGGAGAAATGTCTATTCAAGTCCTTTGCCCATTTTTTAATTGGGTTGTTTGTTTTTTTGGTGTTGAATTTTGTAAGTTCCTTATTAATTTTGGATATTAACCTCTTATATTATCAAATGTACTGGTAAATATATTCTCCCATTCTGTTCATTGTCTTTTTATTTTGCTGATGTTTCCTTTGCTGGGTAAAAAATTTTCAATTTGATATAGTCTTATTTGTTTATTTTTTTCTTTTGTTTCTCTTGCCTGGGGAAATATACCCAATAAAAAATTGCTGTGAGCAATGTCTAAAATTTTGCTGCTTATGTTTTATTCTAGAATTTTTATGGTTTTAGGTTTAACATTTAAGTCTTTGATCCATTTTGAATTTATTCTTCTGTGTGGTATAAGAAGGTGGTCTAGTTTCATTTTTCTGCACATATCTGTCCAATTTTCCCAACACCATTAATTGAATAAGCTATCTTTAGCCCATTGTATGTGCTCGCTTCCTCTGTCAAATATTAATTGGTTATAAAAGTATAGGTTTATTTCTAGGCCCTCTATTCTCTTCCATTGATCTGTGTGTCTGTTTTTATGCCAGTGCCAGACTGTCTTGATTACTTTGGCCTTATAGTATAGTTTGATATTAGATAGTGTGATTCCTTAGACTTTGTTCTTCTTTCTCAGGAGCACTGTTGCTATGTGGGGCCTTTTGTGGTTCCACATGAATATTTGAAATATTTGTTTGAGAAATATGAATATTTGAAATATGTCATTGGAATCTTGATAGGAATTGCATTGAATCTATAGATTAATTTGAGTAGTATGAACATTTTTACAATGCTAATCCTTCCTATCCTTGAACACAGTCTGTGCTTCCACTTATTCGTACCTTCCTCAATTTCTTACTTCAGTGTTTTATAATTTTCTGAGTGCAGGTTTACATCCTAGGCATTTTATTCTTTTTGAAGCAATTGTACATAGGATTGTTTTCTTAATTTCCCTTTCTGTTTGTTCATTACCGGCATATAAAAATGCAACTGATTTCTGGATATTATTTTGTATCTTGCTACTTTGCTGAATTCGTTTAGCAGTTCTAGTAGTTTCTTGGTGGACTCTTTGGGGTTCTCTATGTAGAGTATCATGTCATCTGCAAATAAAGACAGTTTTACCTCTTGCTTTCCAATTTGGATGCCTTTTATTTCTTCTTCTTGTCTGATTGCTGTGGCTAGGATTTTCAGCACTATGTTGAATAAGAGGAGAAAGCGGACATCCCTGTCTTGTTCCTAATCTTAAGGGAAACACTTGTAGTTTTTGCCTGTTGAATATGATGAGGGCAGTGGGTTTGTCATATATGGCCTTTACTATGTTCAGGTATGTTTCATCTATTCCCACTTTGCTGAGAGTTTTGATCATAAATAGGTGCTGGATTTTATCAAATGCTTTTTCTGAATCTATTGATAAGATCATGTGGTTTTTATCTTTCTTTTTTTATGTGATGAATCACATTTATTTATTTGCAAATGTTGTACCAACCTTGCATTCCCAGAATAAATCTCACTTGATCATAGTGTATGATCTTTTTGATGCATTGCTGTATTAGGTTTGATAATATTTTGTTGAGGGTTTTAGCATCTCTGTTGATAAGGGATATTGACCTATAATTTTCTTTCTTTGTAGTGTCTTTATATGGTTTTGGAGTTAGGATAATGCTAGCCTCATAAAATGATTATGGGAGTCTTCCCTCCTCTTGAATTTTATGAAATTGTTTGAGAAGGAGAGGTGTTAGTTCTCCTCAGAATGTTTAGTAAAACTCATCTGTGAAGCCATCCAGTCCAGAGCTTTTGTTTGTTGGGAGGGTTTTTTGTTTTCATTTTTGTTTTTTTTTTTTTTACTGCTTCAGTTTCACTAGGTGTAATCTATCTATTCAGATTCTCTGTTTCTTCTTGATTTAGTTTTGGAAGATTGTATGTTTCTAGAAATTTATCCATTTCATTCAGGTGGTCCAGTTTCTTGGTATATAGTTGTTCATAACATTTTCTTGCAACGCTTTGTATTTCTTTGGTGTCAGTTGTTATTCCTCCTCTTTCATTTCTGATTTTATTTATTTAGGCCCTTTCTCCTTTCTTCTCTTGATGAGTCTGGTTAAAGTTTGTCAATATTACTTATCTTTTCAAAGAACAAGCTCTTAGATTCATTGATCTCTTGTATTTTTTTTTTAGAGTCTATTTCATTTATGTCTGCTCTGATCTTTATTATTTCCTTTCTTCTACTCACTTTGGGCTTTGTTTGTTGTTCTTTTTCAAGTTCCTTTAAGTGTAAAGTTAGAGTGTTCATTTGAGCTTTTTCCTGTTTTTTGAGATAGGCCTGAAATGCTATGAATTTCCCTCTTAGGGTTGCTTTCCCAGGAGCCCACAGATTTTGGATTGTCGTGTCCTCACTTTCATTTACTGCAA